CATGCTGCAATTGGAAATCCAGGCATTTTTCGTTTCTTACCACATCTGCAGCCATGCCATAAATGTTGGGGAGGGGTGGAACAAACGGGAGAAAATCTCCTCTTCATCCATTCCCCCCACCCCCACCCCCACGCTGCTGCTCTGAGGTGCGAAAAACACCTGCATTTTAATTTTCCCACAGCAGAAACCATGCTCCCTTTGTTTGCAACCCCACTGGAGGTAGGGCGTGGTGATGTGCAAGGGGTTGGGGTTGGGCAAGCTGTTAGGGCTTTGGGGCCATTGGGAGAGCTGTGGCGGGATTGGGGGTTGGGTGAGGTGTAAACGGAGGGGAGTTGGCAAGCTGCGTAGGGTTTAGTGGGGTTGGTGAGCCACACAAGCTGGGCTGCAGCCCCTGGTTATAATTGCCGAGATAGGTGGAAAAGGGGGTGAAATGTGGTTTGGAGTTCAACATAAGAGTGAGTTAATGGGGTGCAAATTGGGGGTGTGCATTCAAGAGGGTACAAATGAAGAGAGAGAAGCCAACTATCATGCCAGTTCAACGAAATACATGGTTTTACCTGAATGTATCGATGACATTATGCTTATGTTGCATTTTTGTTGATCGAAAGGAAACGCATGGACATCCAGACTGCAGGATGAAGTCAGTCGGTAGGCTTGAAACATTTGAATGGAACCGTCAGCTGATACATAAGCAAAAGGGCTCTGTGTGAACTTGTCTTCATCTGCCCTAAAGACAGCGTATTGTAATTAGGAAAGCTTTGCATTTTGCACAGATTAGATAACCCGTAAGTCTGGCCCCTACATGGGAAGCCTCATTGTTAATCATAGAACTGTAAAGTTGGAAGAGACCCCAAGGATCATCTAGTCCAGCGGTTTTCAACCTGTGGGTCCCCAGATGTTATTGGACTACAACTCTCATCATCCCTAAGCTCTGGCCTTGCTAGCTAGGGGTAATGGGAGTTGTAGTTCAACAACATCTGGGGACCCACAGATGAGAAAGGCTGAGCTAGTCCAACCCCCTGCAATGCAGGAATCTGTTTGCTCAATGTGGGGCTCAAACCCACAACCCTGAGATTAAGAGTCTCATGGTCTACCAACTATTTGTTGGAACAACCAACTAAAGCAGGGATTGTCAGCCTGGTCCCTACCGCCCACTACAGTAGTTTCAGGATTCTAGATGGGCGGTCAGGGGTTCTACAGCAAAAGTTGAATCCTCCTTCCATCGAGCACTGGTGGGTGGTAAGGAAATTTTACCATCAAGAAAGATGCATTAGTGGGCGGTAAGTCAAAAAGGTTGACTACCCCTGATCTAAAGGGTCAACGTGTAGATATTGACTTCATGACAATAATAAAACATAAAATATAACTGAATGATGATATAAAATACTTATAACAAACGAATAATGAATCAAAACTTGCACAATTTTCTAAATTATTCCCATGACATCAGCGGGAAAGTGGGGGTGAAGAACAAGCAGAATGTGGACGAGCCCTTAGACCAAACTCTGTGCCAAGAAGACATGAGGCAACCTGAACTCAGTCAAACAATGCAAAATTCACAGGTTCTTGCCTTAGCTCTGGCAATGGTGTCTGCATTTGTGCTCAGCCCCCAGCCCAGTGCTGATAAACCTCTGGCTATCATGGCAGCCAGCCTTCTCAATGCCTTGGAATGGATATGGTAAAGTGGTTTCAGTACATGGCTGCACCAAAAGCAACCCTGTGAATTTGCCCTGAAAATGCAGTTTGGAAACACATTCACCATAGGATAAAAGCAGCATTACCGTTCATCTATATAGAGGTCTGGGGTCCAGAAAAGGTTCACAGGCAAAGTGATATTCGTAATGTTACAGAAATCCAAGGGATTCCATGAGACAAATTCATTGTCCCAGAACTAGAGGAAAGAAAAAATATATTACTTACAATAAAATAAAATAAAATCATGTGAGGATAGATCTGTTTGCTATTTACAGAAAAGAAAGAGGGCCTCACCACATACATCCAGAAATAGAATGTGACCACCTGCAATTTTTCTTGCTGCAAGGAACCAAAAGGGAAAAGATTAACATATTATTTTCCTCCTGTCCTAGAGAATTAACACAGAGACAGATATATTGGTGGTACAACTGGAAGATGGATGTCCCTCTTTAAAAATCCACCCGTCCCCAACTGGCTGGTGGCCCTGCCTGTCACACACAGCTAGAATTGAAGCTATGAATCCAGTAAGCAACTGTTCTGCAATTTCCCCCAACAGTTTGCAATTGTAAGGCAGCACCCCACATCCAACCTCCCTTCCCTTTCTTTGCCCCCTCCCCAGTATTTGTGCTTAGCCCCATCACTAGCAACCAACCATGCAATGATTATTCTCTCTTACCACTGAAAGGATGGACACCAGGGTGAAGTCTAGTTGAACTTCTATAGGCTTTTCCCAATTATTCAGAGGTATGGTGTATAAGAAGAGATCCTTATTAGAAGAGATGTTCAGGTACTCAGCCACATCGTGATACCTACAGTTCTGTTTCTGGGTGGCTTCTGGAGTGGGGACAAAATGAGAAGATGAATGTGTCAGTATGGTAAGATTCAAAAGTCCTTGTTCTGTTCTTGTTCTTGTTTACAACTTATTACCTGATCTTCAACCTAAAGTTCCAGGTTTGGTTATGCTGGGGAAATATTGGAGTTCAGTACCCAATACCCTGTGGGTTCAGCCTGGATGGCCAACAGAATCCGGACACCAATTGTTAGTCAAATAGGACATTTATTTAGATATTGCAAGGCTGGTTTCACACAGCCTCAACCAGCAGTTGATGTAGTTGATGAAGTAGTTATGGATGGCACACCAAGTATGAAAGAAGTATACACATTTATACAATTACAAGCACAGGGAAGCAAAGGGGCTGTTATGTCCCTATATGCCAATACGTCTTTCTACTAGCTTATACTGGTTTAACCCTCCCTCCTTTTTCCTCAACAGTTACAGCAATAGCTCCTACACATCCTTCTTGCATGGTTCTCCTGCAAACACAACCTTCACATTCCAGCCTTCACTTGCTCAGCCTTTTCCTCACACATTTCAATTCCCCTTTATTCTTTTATAATGTTATTCTCCCTTCCAGTTACAATTAAAACACAACATTATATGAAAACACAACATTAAAAGCAGTTTAAAGAAACTTAAGAATACGAAAATAAGGCGGATGCTAAAAAGAGACATCTCAAGTGTCAAAAGCCCCAGCAAAGAGCTGCATCTAGGCAGAGTCAGACAGGATCCTTTCTCTCCTCTTCCTTTGCTGTATCCCATTATTTCGAAAGCCAGTGAACTCGAGAAACTGCTGCCTTTCATTCTAGCATCCATCCTACCTTCTATAAAGTCTCTTAGTTGATTTGTCAGCTATTAAAGCTAGAGAGAAGAGAAGAAATGGTTTTACCTGGCACCCAGGAGAGTAGAAAACTAATCATAACAGCTCTCCACATTCTTCTCTGAGAGTCAAACCAAGTGTCTTTAAGAGAAGAAGCAATAATCTGCTAGGCTGCTAAATTTGCAGCGGTGAGGAAGAGCCACATTTCTGTGTGAAATTGAGATCTCTCCTGGCTGTGGGGTAATGCATTTCACATCTCTGGTTTTGAATCTCATTTCCATGCATTTGCTCGTAATAATATCTTCTCGTAACTTTATTGGCTCTGCATTAGCATCTGTATATTTCTCCCTGTTGGGATCACCCAACTAAAACATTTGCTTTCGCTTCCTCTAGATTTGTGTTTAATTAAGGATCTGGCTTCCCATTAGTGCGCATTACTTACTCCACGTTGGGGTCCGGATGTTTCTTTCCAGACAATTATGAGTTGTTCTTTTAATGCACTCTTTGCAAATGTTGTTAAGACAAATATTGTAATTAGATATCAGGCACTACACTCCTGCCTCTTTGAAAATGCAACACACTTCACTTAGTAAAATACACAGTAGGGCCTGAAGGCATATCAACCTTACTCACATATATCTACGGTGTTTAAACCCAGTTTAATTATCATTGGTGTCTTCAAAGAATCCCGGGAATTGTGGTTTAGTATAGATGCTACCAAAATTCCTGTGACAGAGCCATGGTTCTTGGACATAACTACAGTTCATAGCACAGAGGGAATCCTGTGACCTCCAGATGTTGCTGAACTGCAACTCCCATTGTCCCTAAGCTTTGGCCATGCTGGCTGGGGCTCATGGGAATTGAAGTCCAGCAGCAGCTGTAGGACCACAAGTTCTCCATCCTTGACTTAAGGCCATGCTTCTCATCCTTTTTTTTTTTAAAAAAAACCCATCTTCTCTTTGTGATAGCATAAAAATTCCCCACCCCTTCTTCAAACTTAGCTCCCCTAGTTATTTTATTTGAATTTTCAAAAGTGTTGAAATATTGCACCTCTTATTCATAAATACTATCTTTGGCTTCCTCCCAAAGAATCTTGAACTCACAGACCTACAATTTCCGACACCCTCAAGAAACTACAGTTAGCAGGGGAAACTACCATACTGAAATATAAAAGTATGAAATGTGTTATTTGGGAAGGCGAGATTATATGCAGCTTATTACATGACCAGCAAGTCATCACTAGTGCACAGGTAGCTCAGAATTATCTCACAAGCAGTGTGGCATATGATATACAAAGCACAACAGCTTGTCATGCATGGTGGAGTTAATCGGTTGCATGTTTATTTGTGCTGTTCATTTTCATGAACTTTGAGAACTTTCAACTTACCACAAGCTATCACTGTTACATATCAAATCATCCTCAATTTAAGGCAGGAATTCTTTTTTGTATGTGCAGCTGGACATAAGATGTGGAAAAGATTGTGCAGTTGGAAAAACAGGGGTGGGGAACTAGACATGCTAAGTGTGGGTGTTTATTAAGCATTTAAAAGACAAGCAATGTCAGGGATGATAGATAGACAACTTAGATGAACTCAGTTTCCCTACTTACACCACCCACATCATATTAAAATGACCACCTTTTTTCCCCCCAGAACCACCTCTACTTCATCTTCATCTTCGGCTAGGTAACTCTTCATCAAAGCACTCCGTTTTTGCACCTTAGGTACTGATTATTCTGGGAAGTACATTGAAACAAGACAAAATGTGCAGAGGTGGCTCCAGCTTTGAGGGAGCTCTTGGCAAAATGTCTACTCATGGGCCCCCATCTTACGCCAATGGCTTTTCTCTGATGTACCTGGATAGCAGTCTCCAGAAGTTACCATGTAAAATTCCCACAATGCCTCCAACGAGGCATTGCTCTGGGGAATTGTGGGAAATTTAAATGGCAATTCCTGGACCCAGACACGTTTTTGAAAGGAGTGCATGAATGTTGTGTCAGCAGAGAACCCCGCTGGGGCCCTGGCAAAAGCTTGAGGATGCCACATACTGACGCCAGGCTAGAAAACCTGCCACTCAATGAAGCCTTGAAAAACCAGCACTTCTGAATAATTGGTTTTGTGATGCTTGATTGAGTCATAAATTTTGCAGTGTTTTTACATATTTCCAAACATGAAAGGCTTTGACTTTAGTAAGCCAACTTCCAACAGCAAACAGCACTTGGCTGAGGCATTTCATCAGGTAGCATTTACTGACTTTATACAAATAACAGATTGGTAAATTAGCATACTTGTACAATGGGCATTGGTTATGCACCCCTTGGTCTACCACAAATACCAATAATATATAATTTAGCATGTCCACTGCATGGCAACAAAAGTTAAAAAGATGAGTGAGAAAATCAGGCGGGTAAAATAAAGCCCTTTCTCCACAAGGAGGATCATATTATCCCACACAACTGATTCAGAGTCATCCTGGCATTCTTCTAGGGAGAGATGTTTCCTGATCTGTTGTAATTCTGCATTAATATGTTTCAGAAACACCAAACTCTCTTCTTCATGGCACTTTTCTGACAAGGATGGTCTGCCTGCCTGCTGGCTCCCTTTGGGCAGCCCATCTCCTGCATGGAAGAAAATGAAGACTGTATATGTTAACATGTTAAGAAAATCCTATGTGGGAACAGACATTGTTTGAGAATTAAAAATGGAGAGTTAAAAAACTACTGGCTGTTTTGATTCTAAATTCTGGCATTTGGTTCACCTGTCGAAGCAACCTAAGAAATCCTGAAGGTCGTCCAGTGGGTTTCTACTATCTCAATTCCTGGACAATGGATCCTGGACAATGTTCTTACCTCTTTCATCAGAGGAGTAATGGGGACAGCCTGGTGCCTCAAGTCCATTTCTTACATTACACAGAAATAAACTCAGCCTTGTTCCAGCTGTACATTCAGAAGGGACTGGACATTGTCTCCATGACTTTATGCCATGAAGTGACCCATAAATTAGCTAAATAAAAAACTAAATAAATAGCCAATCCTTCACGTACTCCTAAAAATGAACTGTGAAAAGGATTCGGGTGTTTTTTTAAAGCACTGGATTATGGTGCTTGACATTTGCCCCCTTCTCCCTCTTTATTGATCTTTTTCTCCATTATGTAAGAAAAATAAAAAACCATTTTGGAAAGTGCTTACCTAAATCAGCCACAGGCTTCTCAGATTGCTTTTTCTTCTTTCTCAGAATTATATTCATAAATTTATTCCTCATGAAGGGTGGGGACTCTGGTTTCTTCTGTTTAAGATAGAGTACGAAAGCATTCTCCAGGATACCAAAGACCATAAATACAAATATCCCAGTGAAAAACATGGCTGTGTTGGAGAAGAAATGGATAGTAAATATTTGGCCCTTCAGGCGACTGTTCTTTTACACTAGAGTGGGAGGGGCCTGGCAGGAGGCAGAAAAGAAATGGGGAGTGTTGTGGCACTGAGAAGATATGCTGTAGGGACCACACAAGTAACATGTGGGTTGCTGGTTTGGTGCTCCTATATCTGTAGATGTTTTGTCTGTGATGGGATGTATGTATGGTAAAGATGACGGTTGTTTTGGGGGAGCTTGAGATAAGTTGAGTGGAAATTAGGTCTAACTCCAAAGGAATGTGGGGGAAGTGTAGTGATGGTGGTGTCGACGTTTGTAGATGGAGCCTGGGATAGTGACAATGGGTGATGGTTCTTCTCCCCACCAGATTTTGTGGGCATCCGATCACCAGTGTAACTACAGTGGCAAATGGGCCAGATTGCTTGCAGAAACTTGTAGAAGCTCTAGTTCTCCTTTATGAGAATTAAATGCCCCAAAACTCACACACTTTGTAGATTATAGAAGGTATAAAATAAGGATAAATCCAAAAATACAGCAAAGCATTGAAACACAAAACCGAGTCATCTTGCCCTCTTTGGCTAGCATGGAATCCTTCTCTCTGAAATTCATAATAGTGAAATAGAGAGAAATAGGGATTTCCATGGCCAATCAAATAGATTCATCATTAAAAAGACTACTTTTGCCTTCCGGTTCTTCTCCTGCAGAGGAACCCATAGGACAAGACTGGTTAGTTGTTGCAGCACCACGGAGAGTTCCTAGGGGACAAGTTGCTCAAACTGGAGTTGGAACTGGACTGAGGCCTCTACTATCAGCCCACAACTCTTATATGAACAACTGCCTTTTGGAAATCTAGACTCCCTTAAACGGCCACCTTCTGGCCCGAAAATGGACATTGCTCTTGGGTTCCATGGCCTCCCACTTGGTGTGATTCCTATGCTGTTGGACTGGCCATGTACTGGGGTTCCTCAGGCCTAAGTGGAGACACCTGTCCCATCTCTGGTTCTGTGGACCCTGGGTTCTATAAATCCTGGTGCTGTGGCAGCTATTAAAGTGGCTTTGGCCATCTGTTCCTTTGTCCCACCTTTTCCTTGAAGGAGTGCCAACTTCCAGTCCATAGAACATTGAGGATTTAACTCAACTGGGGTGCACTCCTAACTCCTGGGAGTAAGTCACATTGATTTCAACAGGACTTACTCATGGATGGGCATGGTTAGACTCATGCTGTTGTTCACTAGAAGATTGTGCTGTGCAAACCTTTGTCAGAGATGCATAAGACACTGCAGGCCTTTGCTGCTGTTCTCAAATGGTAGAAAGGCATTAAAGAGACCCTTCTTTCCCTATCTCATGCGGAGGTCAATGGGTACTGCCAGTGTTGAACTAAAAGCTACTATAGCATAGCAGCTGCAAAACAGGATGTCTTCCCTGGGACAAATCTCTCAGGGTGGCTAGCTAAACTCTCTCATTCTTTCCCCACATCTGAGATATACGGATAATAACACCAAGATACCTTGCAGAGCTGTTGTAAGATCCGCAAGTTCATGTCACTGAAGTGCTTTAATATGTACTAAACAAATGATAAGGAGTATCCTTATTCTAGTTCTGTACAATGCCAGGTAATTACGATTTACAAAATAATATCTCCAGCTAAAAATCAGTTACTGACTCAGGGACCTGCTTGCTGGACCACAATGTGAGTAGGTCCAATGAAAGCAACTAAAACTATTTGACAGCCCCCCAAACTGTTCAAAGGCTGCCAGTGCTGAATAATCTGTGCAGTAAAAGGTGGTTACCTATGACTGGTGGATCATCGGATGCTGACGGTAGCATATCATTCAGAATCAATGACAAGAGTGAGACTTGCAGGATCAGTGTCACTTTGAAAGCAATCTTTTCTCCAGGGCAAGCAAACGCATAAGAAATAGCCATATCCAGCAAGAACAGAGTAAAAGTTGGCAGGATCAGAACCAACACATACAAAATGGATTGCCTCTTCATAGAAACCTGTCCCCAAAAAGGACAAAACAAGAATGAAGATTACAGCAAAGAATGGTACTATCCTTTCAGTCTCACTAGTAGTATCAATTTGCCCATGGTCCTTATTTTTAGCAGCCTAAGAGCGGGTGAGACCATTTGGAGAACTGTTAAACAGGTGATATAATGAAATTCAGTTAGAGGGGATTTGGGGAAGTCAGTTGTCAATGTAATGAAATTAGGGATATGAAGTGATAATTCTTTTTTGTGTCTTTTTTCTTTGTTTTGTGTTTTGTAATGTTTTTCTTTTTCTTTGTGATAAATGTGAAAATCAATAAAAAAATTGGGGGGGGGGAGAGTAGGTGAGACCATTATTTTCTCTCTTCCGAAAGCACGTCAAAGTTCAAGTAGATAAAAAGGTACCGCTCCGGCGGGAAGGTAAACAGTGTTTCCGTGCACTGCTCTGGTTCACCAGAAGCGGCTTAGTCATGCTGGCCACATGACCCGGAAGCTGTAAGCTGAGTCCCTCAGTCAATAAAAGCGAGATGAACACCACAACCCCAGAGTCAGCCACGACTGGACCTAATGGTCAGGGGTCCCTTTACCTTTAAAATGTTTCATGGAAAGTGTGGGATAACACTGTATTTGACACAACGACATCTAACCTGCCCACAAACAAACTAAATAAACAGGTCATCTGGAAGAACCCAGGTTGTGCTTGCTTCTGCAACTCATCTACTAACCCAATGCATGCTTACCATATTTTTTGCTCTATAAGACTCACTTTTTCCCTCCTAAAAAGTAAGGGGAAATGTGTGTGCGTCTTATGGAGCGAATGCAGGCTGCGCAGCTATCACAGAAGCCAGAACAGCAAGAGGGATTGCTGCTTTCACTGCACAGCGATCCCTCTTGCTGTTCTGGCTTCTGAGATTCAGAATTTTTTTCTTCTTGTTTTCCTCCTCCAAAAACTAGGTGCGTCTTGTGGTCTGGTGCGTCTTATAGAGCGAAAAATATGGTGCTTCTTCAATGATCTTACTAGATAAGTGTGCATAGGATTGCAACCTCAGGATGCTATTCTGTTTGTATTGCTGCAGCTTGAACGATTACTTAAAATCAAAGTGTCCATCGTCAACATATTGCAAAGGACAATTGATTTGTCTTTTTGAAAATGAGCCAGTAATGGTTGGTTGGCATCCTTCTGTCTCAGGAGACAGTAAAGGATGTGCCTTTGGGGAGTGAAGTCAAACCGTTGGAGAGGCACATTGCCTGCTGTTGAGGCTGTAGAGATCAATATGGGAGAGACATGTTTTGTTGCAGCAGGGGCAGATGAAGGCACCCAGCTGTGCTGCTGCAGATGCACCATGGCGTTTCCTCTCTCTGCATTCCTCCCAGCAGTCATTCCTTCTCTGGTCACTGCTGTGGATACATGACCTTACTGCTTGTCTCCAGGCTCTGCAGTTGTCTGCATGGGATTCCCACACGGTGGGTTTGATGTTGCCAGCCTTCATCTTTGTAACACAGAGTTGGTCGGCCAATGGGCTTTGTGCCTGAAGCCAGCTCCCCATAAAGCACATCCTTGGGGGTCCTGCCATATTCCATTCTGTGGACATGACCAAGCTGCCCACATAGATGTAACTGAGACAGGAGTGTAGGAATGTGGGCTTGCAAGAGCACATCTTTGCTTGAGACTCTGTCCTGCCATGTGTGGCTCAAAATCTGCCTGACGCAGTGCATGTGGAAGACATTGAGGCAACACGCCTGATGCCTGTAAGCTGCCCATAAAGCAGTGTGCTCAACATACAAGCCTGGTAGACCTTCATCTAGGTAAATTTACTACCCTAAAAATTTAAGCAGAATTCCTGAAATTTTGCTTAAGCATAAAAACGAACACAAACTTTGTCTTAAGCATAAAACCGAACACTAGATATATAGGGATATATTTCAGTGTTCCCATGTTTTCTAAATGTATTAGAAACCAAATACCTCATAAGTGACAATACTAAAGTTGCTTATATCATATCCCAAGGTGTGCTCTATGATCCTCAGTTCCTCAAACTTCCATTCTCCACCGCTCAAGAAACTTTTGTGACTATCTTGGTTTGCTTTCATGGAAGATTTAGAGCTCTTCAATAGTATTTCCTTATCTAAATTCAGCAGAAGACAAATGAAGGTTGTTAGTTTAGGGCAGTATAGAAAATCACAATCACATCCTCAGTAATCCCGTTAGGAGTACAGACTGTGTATATACTTCAGTAGTGAAGTCTGTCAGCCCTCTTAGGCCTTCCTTTTGAGGTTGTGCCATAACTGTTCCATCTTGTCCCACAGCTTGCTCAGTGTGTGAATTAAGCCCCAATGTGGCATCACACCCAAATTGGTAGTGATATACTAATAGCAAACACATGGTCAGCCTCCCATGGGGGCAACTCTCAAAACTGAGAGAAGACTTTGACCTGGGGGCACTGGCAGGGGGAGCAAACATACAATAAAGAGTGATAATAGGGAGAGAGTGAAGAAAGATGTGGAAAACAGGGAACATAAGGCACATTTGGAAAGGCACAAGTTGCGTGTACAGTGTTAACCTCCTGGTGAAAGGCAGATAAGAAATATAGTAAGTAAATAATAATGCCTTGTGCCCAGTGCTAGTCCTACTAGCCTGGAGAAGAGGAGGTTAAGGGGTGATATGATAGCCATGTTCAAATATATAAAAGGATGTCATATAGAGGAGGGAGAAAGGTTGTTTTCTGCTGCTCCAGAGAAGCGGACACGGAGCAATGGATCCAAACTACAAGAAAGAAGATTCCACCTAAACATTAGGAAGAACTTCTTGACAGTAAGAGCTGTTCGACAGTGGAATTTGCTGCCAAGGAGTGTGGTGGAGTCTCCTTCTTTGGAGGTCTTTAAGCAGAGGCTTGACAACCATATGTCAGGAGTGCTCTGATGGTGTTTCCTGCTTGGCAGGGGGTTGGACTTGATGGCCCTTGTGGTCTATTCCAACTCTATGATTCTATGATTCTATACTCCGTATAGACCCATTGAAATTAATGGGCATGGCTAACTCAGGTCCATTATTTCAATGGGTCTACTCTGAGTAGGTCTTAGTTGGATGCAACCTAATCTTATCTTTCTATATAATAAAATTGTAAGGCTGTCATCATGCAGCAGTTTTCATGGCCACCAATAGGCAGCCATGCAAACTGCAGGTTGGATATGCCAGGTAGGCAGAGTGAGAGAGCAGTGCAAAGACATGGGTAGAGTGATCAGGACACAAAGGAGCAGGAAGGACAGTTCTACCCCACATTCCACCTCTGATTCCACTGCCATTGACGGTGGGGAGGACAAAGGGGCAAAGGTCTCTCCAACATCTACCCCACCCCAAAGTTTCTGCTATGATTGCTGCTCAGAGAAGGAGAGAAAAATGCCTGCATTTTGAAATACAGGGCTTTCTCCTTCACACAACAACAGCTATGCTAACCCTGTTGTTGTCACCACTGCTGTTGGGGTGAAGAGGATGAGTTGCAAAGGGAGAGATTTGTAAAAGTATAAAGGGAAGGGTGGGGTGAGCTGTGGGAGAATTGGGAGATTTAGGAAGCTGTGAGAGACATGGGGGTTGGGGAGTTAAGAGAGGTTGGGTGTTGGGAAGCTGATTCGGGAGTGGTGTAAAGGTTTAACAAGGGGTGGTAGGTCTGGCAGGCTTGCAAGCAAGACATAAGTGGGAAAGGGGTGAATTGTGAAGATTGAAGCGTGAGCATATGGGGTACCAATTGGGAGTCTGCATTCAAAAGTACGTGGATGGAGAGATAAAATCAAACGATCATGACAGTTCAAAGAAATACAGCTGTGCTTGGCTGTGTTACCTGAACATATTGTGGTCATGGTTAGGTTGCATTTTTGTTTATCGAAAGGAAATGCATGGACATCCAGACCGCAGGATGAAGTGAGTCGGTAGGTTTGAAGCAAATGAATGTAGCCATCGGATGTGACAAATGCCATAGGGCTGAGTGTGAACTTGTCTTCATCGGCCCTAAAGATACAGTTATCGTAAGGAAAGCTTAGCATTTTGTACATATTAGACAACCTGCATTAATAAAAATGGACTTAAGCAGGGCATGTGGCAAGAGATGATCCAGGCCAATGGGGTATTGGGTGGAGACCCTACCATTTTAAAAGACCAAGGGGAAAGCCACCTATGCAAAGGGTAGATGATCTGAAACTAACAGCAGGGTTTGTATGGATGCAGCAAGCAAACAAAAGAGAATGCTGGGGACAACCTGAAGAAGTGTACTTCAAAGGATGGATGTGAGATGCAGAAGGAAGAGACAATTTATAGGTTTGGCTCCTACATTGAAACCCTCTTTGTCAATACAACAACCAAACAAACATACAGAGATTGACTGCATGTATTATATAATAATAGAGTATAAAATATAACCAAAGGGGGTTATGAAAACATTTATAATATACAAATAAGACATTAATACGTTCACATATAAACAATGTCACCTTATAGGAAAGCCCAGGTGGATTCTGTAATTTTTTAATTTTCCAACCAAAATATTTCCAATATTTTGCAATATTCAGCAGCTGTCACAAAAATGTCTGGGGATCGGAATAGTAATGATAATGTTAGATCACATCACTTCTCCCAGTGGTGAGATGTTCCAGGTGTGTGGCCCCTACCTGTTTTATTTCCCCCCAGAAGGAGGCTTGTGGCATTTTGTAATATCTGTTTATTTACAAATAGCACGGTTGAAACCTTCCAAAGTCCACTGCTCCCACACCAGGTCTTGAGAGGGAGGTGGTCAGCACTTCCAAAATGCTGTTGGCTTGCAGAACCCAAGCTCCACTCACTGTGTCCCCCTTAGCACGCCCCCCCCCACTCAGAAACCATCTATGGTTCTTTTCACAGACACCTAAATTATATCATCCTTAGCTAGAGGTGGGGGAAGAAAGGCAGAACAAAAATAAAAACTTTAAATCCTGATGCTTGGATTCAATTTCAAACAATTGAGAAAAATGAACTTGCGGTATGTTATTTAATAATCCAAATAAATAAATAAATAAATAAATAAATAAATAAATAAATAAATAATAATAATAATAATAATAATAATACCTAACCTAAACCATTTAAGAATTTAAGCCAGTAAAAACAAGTATTTCAAGCAAACTACCACAGCATTTGTAGGATGGTGGCTATTTTGCATGATAGATGGGTGGTTGGGGAAGATTATATTTCATTTAGCTCTGTGCCAAGGAAACCCAAGGTAACCTAAACACAGCCAAACAATGCAAAATTCACAAGCTCTTGGCTTAGTGCTGGCAATGCTGCCCGCATTTGTGCTCATCCTCTATTCCAGTGCTGCTAAACATCTGGCTATCATGGCAGGCAGCCTTCTCGATGCCTCGGCATGGAAATTGTAATGTGGTTTCAGGGCAACCCTGCAAATTTGCCCTCAAAATGCAGTTTGAAAACACATTCCACATTGATTAAAAGCAGCATTACCGTTCATCTATGTAAATGTCTGGGGTCCAAAATAGTTTCACAGGAAGAGTGATCCTTGTAATGTTACAGAAATCCAAGGGATCCCATGAGATGAAATCATTTTTCCAGCTCTAGTGGAAGGAAAAATTATATTAGTTTGTTTTGTTTTTTTAAAATCTCCTCTGGGTTCTCATGGGAGGATGAATCTGTTTGTTACTTGCAGAGAAGAAAGAGGACCTTACCACATGAAGCCAGAAATAGAATGTGACCACCTGCAATTTTTCTTGCTGCAAAGAAGCAAAAGGGTAAAGATTAATGTATTCTCTTCTTCCTGCCCTAGAAAATTAAGACAGATAGTAGCACTACCGGAGGGTGGGAGGGAGATGGATGACCCTCTTTTAAAATTCCTGCTCCCCTGCTGGCTGATCTGCTGGTGGCCCTGCCAGTCAACGCACAGCTGGGCTTGCAGCTACTAAACTAGCACACGAGTGTTTTGTTATTCTACCCCAACAATTATTCCCCTGCTCCAACTTCCCTTCCCTTTCTTTCCCCCCTCCTCAGTATTTTTGCTTAGTCATATCACTGGAGACCAGACATGTAATGATTATTCTCTCTTACCACTGAAAGGATGGACACCAGGGTGAAGTCTAGTTGAACCTCTAACGATTCTTCCCAATTTCTCTTGGGTATGGTGTATGAGAAGAGTTCCTTCTTAGAAGAGATGTTCAGGTACTTGGCCACATCATAGTAACCACAAATCTGTTTCTGGGTGGCTTCTGGAATAGGAACAAAATGAGAAGATGAATGTGTCAGTATGGTAAGATTCAAAAGTCTGTGTTCCAGGCAGAGTCCCACAGTATCCTTCCTCTCCTCTTGCTTTGCTGTCTACCATCATTTTGAAAGCCAGTGAACTGGAGAAATTACTGCCCTTCTTTCCAACATCCATCCTACCTTCCACCATGTCTTTTAGTTGATTTGTCAGCTAGTAGAGCTGGAGGGAAGAGAAAAAATGCTCTTACCTGGCACCCAGGAGAGAAGAAAACTCATCACAACAGCTTTCCACATTCTCTGAGAGTAGGTCCAAATGCTTTTTAATAGTAGAATCAAAAATGTTCTAGGCTGCTCGGTTTACCGAAATGAGGAGCAGCAGCATTTCTTGTATGAAATGGAAACCTCCCATGGCTGTGGGGTAATGTATTTCACATCTCTGGTTTTGAATCTCATTTCCATGCATTTGCTCCTTACTTTATCAGCTCTGCACATCTGCCCATGCCTCCCTGTTGGCCTGAAGTGTACACAAATTCCCTAAAACATTTTCTTTCTCGTCATCTTGATCTTTGTGCTTAATTAAAGATCTGGCTACCCATTAGTGTCCATTACTTCTTCCCCTTTGTGATCCGGATGTTGCTTTCCAGATAATTATGTTATTTTGATGCACTCTTTGCAAACACTGTTATGATGACAAATATTGTAATTAGACATCAGGCACCACGCACCTGCCTCTTGGAAAATGCAAAGCACTTCTCTTGATGAAATGCAGAATAGAACCTGTGGGTATGTCCACCCTGGCCATATATATCCATTTCATCTCAGCATGGCCAAAACTCTATGACAGATCCTTTGCGTACTTCATAAAACTACAGTTTATAGTGCAAATGGGGAGCCTGTGACCCTCCAAATGTTGCTGGACTGCAACTCCCATTATCCTTAAGCATTGGCCATGCTGCCTGGGGCTCATGGGAATTGAAGTCCAACAATATCTGCAGAGCTACTGGTACTCACGCCACTCTTGGTTTAAGGTCATGCTTCTCATCCTTTTTAAACACACGCCCCCTTCCAGATTAAGGTAAAGGTAAAGGTACCCCTGCCCGTACGGGCCAGTCTTGCCAGACTCTAGGGTTGTGCGCCCATCTCACTCAAGAGGCCGGGAGCCAGCGCTGTCCGCAGACACTTCCGGGTCACATGGCCAGTGTGACATCGCTGCTCTGGCGAGCCAGAGCCGCACACGGAAACGCCGTTTACCTTCCCGCTAGTAAGCGGTCCCTATTTATCTACTTGCACCCGGGGGTGCTTTCGAACTGCTAGGTTGGCAGGCGCTGGGACCGAACAACGGGAGCGCACCCCGCCGCGGGGATTCGAACCGCCGACCTTTCGATCGGCAAGTCCTAGGCGCTGAGGCTTTAACCCACAGCGCCACCCGCGTCCCGCCCTTCCAGATTACTGTACATAAAAATCCCACACAGCACTTCCATCCAACTCCCCCCATTATTTTATTTGAATTTTCAAGAGTATTGAAATATCATTACTTTTTATTATAAGTCTGTACTACTACTACTACTACAACTACTACTACTAATTTTATTATTTATACCACGCCTGTTTCCCCAGCCACTCTGGGTGGCTTACGACACATAAAAAATTGTAAAACATTAGACATTAAACACTTCCCAATACAGGATTGCCTTCAGATGTCTTCTAGAAGTCAGATAGTTGTTTACTTCCTTGACATCTGATGGGAGGGTGTTCCACAGGGAGGGCGCCACCAGCGGCGTAGCGTGGGTTGTCAGCACCCGGGGCAAGTCAAGTAATTTGCGCCCCCTAACCCCTAACCTGCCGCCGCTGCCAGCTTCTTCTTGCTGCTGCCTGGGCTGGGGTATTTACGGTAAGGTAGCCATGGCGGCAGCGGCGGGTCCGTGTCAGGTGATCTGAGGCGAGTTGCCGCTGGCGCTGCCGCCCAAACGACGCCACTTGCCCGGAGGAGGAGGGCAGAGAGGCAAGGAAAATGCAACATGGCCCAGCAGCTGCAGCAGCAGCGGCGGCGGCGGGGCTGTGAGGAGGGGCTGCCTGGCGCGCCCTCCGTGGCCCTGACGTGCGGGGACCGCGGCGAGCGCTGAGAGCTGCTGCCAGCTCGTCGGTTCCGCGAGACATGGGTCTCTGCTACAGCCTGCGCCCGAGGCTCTTCGGCGACTCCAGAGGCAGCGAGCGCGCCCCCCCAGATGTTGCGCCCGGTGCGGCCGGCCCCCCCTGCACCCCCCACGCTACGCCACTGGACGCCACTACCAGGGAGGTCCTCTGCCTGGTTCCTTGTAACTTCACTTCTTGCAGTGAGGGAACCCCTCAGAGGAGGACCTCAGTGTCTGGGCTGAACGATGGGGGGTGGAGAGGCTCCTTCAGGTATACTGGGCCGAGGCTGTTTAGGGCTTTAAGGGTCAGCACCAACACTTTGAATTGTGCTCGGAAATATACTGGAAGCCAATGTGGGCCTTTCAGGATCGGTGTTATATGGTCTCTTGTAGTGTTAGGTATGTTGTTGTTATGTGGCTTTCCTGACTCAGTACTACACTCCAACCTTGGAAGATGATCAGAGTCCAAGACCTGAGGTTAGCCTCCATTTTGATGCTTCCTGGAATCTGGGTTTAAATGACCTCATCATTTCTTGTGTCAGGTGACTGGTGAAGACCTCGCCTGCCATATTGGCGATGAGTCAGATTTCTTATACTACCTGAACAAGCCGGAATTAAGGCCCAAACATGCTAAGTCATACATGGATCCTGGAGTGGTTTCTTGAGGGGTGGCAATAGTGGATATCAGCAGCTGAGAGATGCTTCAGCAGAACTGTGGTAAGAAGACAAATGATCTTAGCTGGTGAGTATAAGGAAGGAAAAAAGAGGGTTTTGGGCGGGGGAGGACTTTTGGTTTAAAGTGTCAATCCACTGTCACTGCAATGTTTCATTCTGCCAAATGTCTGTCAAGACTTTTCCCCTACTACTGTTTCCTGGTACAGATATTTTTCTGAATTGGAATGCAATATTTAACCATATTCTCCCTTCCTTCGTTTCTTCCACTGTTGGTGGATGGCAGTACATTGACTTGTGTACAATTGTATATTCCAGTCTAGTCAACTGCAAGACACTGGCATGTAATATAAAGTACATCTTTAAAAAGGAAAGGAAAGCAGTTGCTGCCATTCTATGGAAGATAAACGAAAAGTGAGGGGTGGTTACTGGCCCTGAGGAGGAGCTCGGCATGGTTGCTTTGAAAAGAATTTTCTTCAAGAGTTGTACAAGATTATGATTCTAGCTGGAATGGCAGTTACTGCTCTGGGATGGAAAGAAAAGGCCAAATGGAATATGGAAAAATGGAATGAATATGTTTTTGAATATTTGCACAGATAGTGGCAGAGGATAGATGGGAAAATAAATGCCAAAGAATCACATATAAATGGGCATTTTACAGGAACTGGATAGAAAGAGGAGAAGCCAACCCTAACATACAAGCTCGAATGAACAGACTGTGTACATGGATAAAGATATGAAGAAGGAAGGCCTGACCAGGGGAGAGGGGGGGGGAGGAAACCGGATGGTATTTTGAATTGATTTTGTTATGTAAGCCTTTTTTCAGAAACCATATATATTAATGTTATGTAGTGATGCATTGGAGTATGAATGAATTTTGTTTTGTATTCTTGGTTTTATAGAATATATATAATAATGTTATGTTACTAAGCAAATTTAATAAAACGGGGGGGGATGAAAAGAATTCTCTTGGTATAGATATAATAAATATAGATATAATATAATATAAAAGAATGGAACTTATTTATTGGTTGAAAAATAAAACATTTGCAAACACATGTATACTGTGACATAATATGATTTAATGTGAAAGCTTTTATATGAAGCTGAGACTTTCAGGTAAAGTGAAGTGCGAGCTTGCCCCACCTCTTTAGAAAGGGGAGATGAGTCCTGAACGATGTCAAGATCTTTACTGCCCTAAGAAAACCTAAAAAGCAAAATTTCTAATTCTTCCCCACCCCAGATGGGACTCGAACCCACAATCCCTGGCTTAGGAGGCCAGTGCCTTATCCATTAGGCCACTGGGGCTGTATGCCACGAGATGCTTCATTATTTCCTTCATCTCGCAGAGCAACTGTCTAATAAATTCTACCTTTATTTGCTTGTGTGATGAGCAGGATTAGTTTTCAGAGTTGTAGTCCTTCGCAGGCGCTCTGCATTCATTTCAGCCTACGAGAGAGGAAGGCTATTTGCGCAAACAGACCTACGGGAAAAGCGGTTTTAAAAATATGGACTGCTGACAGTCACTGATCCACTGTACCTGAAAGTCTTTTTAATGCTCTGTGATGATGGAACTCGCCCCCTCCGCGACTGTGTAACATTTTCTGTTTTTTCTGCATAAAACTGATTGGACGATAGGATTAAGAACACGCGTGAACGGCAGCTTGCTTTCGGGGTGGGACTGGGGAGCACGTCTCGTACATCGAACTAATTAAATTCCAGTTCGATGTTTCGTCTGATATTTATTGGTCCTATATCTCGGGATTATTATTGAACCGCTAAAACGTATCGACCACGAAGGGACTCGAACCCTCAATCTTCTGATCCGAAGTCAGACGCCTTATCCATTAGGCCACGCGGTCACTAGCAGATACAGAGGGGTATTGGTAAACAGAAGGTATAAAGCAGGAGGTAGCAGACGATGGCTTTGTAAAAGAAGTTAAACTTCACATGTTTCTGAGACGGCGACGGGTTGCTTTTAATTTCCGTGCCATCTCCCGCTGTTTATTGCTGCCCTCCATTTTCCCTTCCGCATTGCCTGGCGGTGAAACTCTCCTAGCTCGCGAGAGTTTCTTGCTGCAGCTTTTAATGGTTTAACCAGGAAACCTTTAATTTTTTTAAAGTCATCTCTTTCTTCTCCTTCTTCTGCAGGCAGTTAGCTGTTTAATAGCTGAGCCCGGGTGTAAAAACGTGAATAAAGAAAGGGAGTACTTCTTGTGCACACCAATGGAAAGTGGCCCCCATCACGTTTAGGCAAAAAAAAAGAACCCCGGGAGAAAAGAAGCAGAGGAAGATCTGAAAAGTTTCTCATTAGAAATCAACCGCCCCGTTAGTGAAATTATCCATTTATAGGAATTTTCAGTCTGTGAATATGCGTAGGGTCCCCAAGCTGAATGCTGCGGCGTTGATTCCCCCCCCTTTAAGCGCGGTGCCTCTGAGCATGTGCAGAATGCACATTTCGCCCCACGTGGCCTTGAGCATTGGATCTATAGATTTCATCCCTGCTGCTATTTTATTATTGTCAGCAGCTTAGGATTCTGAAAAGCCGCGGTGTTCACTTAATTTTTAAAGGGAGAGGCGATCGATTATCGGACAGCATTTGTTGTTCCTTTCCTCGTTTATAAGCCGTGCGGGCGAGTGGGAGAAACCTGCGCCCGGGCTCTATGCAGGGGTACACAGGCGCTGTGAAATTAATTCGGCTATTACAGAGTTAAGTAAGAACGTAGACGCTTTTTTTCCAGCGAGCCCCAGTGGCCTAATGGATAAGGCACTGGCCTCCTAAGCCAGGGATTGTGGGTTCGAGTCCCATCTGGGGTGAATTTCTTTTTTCCTCTCCTTTCCCCCCCATTCACTTTGGTGGTTCTAATTAAGCTGTCTTGTTCCTCTCTTACATTTAATTCATCTCATTGTAAAATTATTAATTGTTTTCATCATTACCTGGCTCCGGCCTGGTGGAACGCTCTGCCTCGTGAGACCAGGGCCCTGCAGGATCTGATTTCTTTCCGCAGGGCCTGTAAGACAGAGTTGTTCTGCCTGGCCTTTGGCTTGGAGTCAATTTGATTCCCCCCCCCCCTTTCCTTTTTTCCTTTCTCCTTCTGTGATGAGGCTGCATTTTAATGTTTCAATGTTGTATTTTAACCTTGTTTTTAAGTTGTATTCATTCAACTTGTTTTTATTATTACTTGTTAGCCACCCTGAGCCTGGCCTTGGCTGGGGAGGGCGGGGTATAAATAATTTTATTATTATTATTATTATTATTATTATTATTATTATTATTATTATTAATGCCCACAGGAATAAACAGGTCAGCCATTACTGTGGTTTAACCAGGGTTGGCCCACCCTGCGAGGTAAGGTGGGGTGACTGCCTCAGGCAGCAGGATCCACTGGGCCAGCAGATCCCAGTGTTGATCTTTCTTCCCCCTTGTTCCTGATTAGATCTTCCCTCACCCCTTCTTCCATGGTGGGGAAAGGGACACCATTTTGGGGTCCGCCTCAGGTGTCAAAATGTCTTGGGCCAGCCCTGGGTTTAACCCTGTTTAGTCTATCACTGCTCCATGTCTGTGTTAGAAACATAACCAAAGACAACCGGAAGAAGGCCTTGGGCCTGCCTAAAATTATATGCAGAGGGAGTGCCTGGAAGCAGCGCCGTTCCCAACATTATGTGGACATCTGAAACAGGTAAAATTCAGTCAGGTGCTTAGATGTTTTGGAAGCTTTGCTCCCATAGATGCTGGCTAATAAGTTCAAGGTGCTGCAAAATTTCTAAAGCTGTTAATCCTTGTGAACCATAATTTCTATGTGAGGCAATATACGTACTACAGAGTAGACCCAAGCAACTCAATGGACTTAGGCTGCTCACAACTAATTTGTTTGATTTCAGTGAGTCTTCTGTGCGACTCAGTTGGATGCCAACCTATAGGTCTCTAACAGAGCAATCCTATGCATGTTTACTCAGAAGTAAATCCTGCTGAATTCAATAGGGATTAGCCCCAGGTAAACTGGGGTCAGGATTACAGATAGGTAGCTGTGTTGGTCTGCCATAGTCAAAACAAAACAAAATTCCTTCCAGTAGCACCTTAAAGACCAACTAAGTTAGTTCTTGGTATGAGCTTTCATGTGCATGCACACTTCTTCAGATACACTGGGGTCAGGATTGTAGCCCTAGGTTACACTATGATGCCACCTTAAACACGCATGGCTTCCCCAAAGGAATCCTGGGAATTGTAGTTTGTTAAAGGTGCTGAGAGTTGTGAGGACCCCGTTCCCCTCTTGGAACTACAGTTCTTGGAATGCTTTAGCAATCAGTCCTTCTTCCCAGGGGAACTCTGGGAAATGTAGCTGTGTTAAGGGGAACTGGGGTGTCTTTACAACTCTTAGCATCCTTTACAAACTAGTTCCCAGAATTATTGGGGGAAAGGCATGACTGTTTGCTGTGGTATAATTGCTCTAAATGTATACTGCTGCTGGAGTCTTAGGTATTATATATAGTACATCTCCCAATTAATATATTGTATATTCCAGAAGAAGAATTTCTATTATATCAGAATTTTAAAAACCTATTTTTAACCAGCCAGTGATGTGAACTTTGCCCAGTGTTCAAAATAATGTTCCTCTACCTCTCATGATCTAAATAAGTAGCTTGTTTCTTCCTCATGAGAACTGTTAATTAAAAAATAGAATTACTGTAAAAATGCTGCATTGTGATTTATTATTTATAGCAACAAAGTTACAAGCAACCTTTCCCTTAAATTCAGAGTGCCCTCTTGTGGCAATCAGAGAGAACTCAAAACTGGCTTTAGAAAAGAAGAACACGTGGCCTTTTCAAAGTACAGTACTGTCGAGATTCTTCCAGAAAATGCACGGAAGAACTGTATTCTCT